TGCTGACTGTGCAGTGGTCCTTTGGCCAGTCCTGGGGCAGACCCCGGATCGGGCCACTCAAGTTGCTGGAGCTGCATCCGGCTGCCAAAGTGCTGCATTATGCGACTTCCGTGAGTACTGCTGCACTATATTTAGTGCGGCTTCCTTTATTATTGTCTGTGTTTTTATTGTATGTATGTATGCAGTACTATATTGTGTGATAATGTACATGATAATACAATTAAGACACAATATACTGTACTAATTACACATGAAAACATATAACTCATACATGAACTCTTGTATCTCATCACTTCCGCCAAAGTTTGTATACCATTCTTGGACATTGCTTGGTACTTTATACAGTACAGTATATAGCCTTATTCAAATGTTTCATCATTCCTGTTAGAATCAAAATCGTGTTGCAAAGAACTACCACAAACCTCTGAAAATGTTTTGTAATGACCAAATTTTATACTGTACTGTATTCAGATATCCCTCATTCCCAACAATACATGCTTAGCTAGGCTGACATTTTGAGCTGGTAATTGGGTAATAAATACAGTCAGTAAGTGCTTCAACAAGAGATAATTCAAGACCCTGTCATAAATTCCAGGTATCTTATTTACACTCCCTACAATGAATTGAAGAGGAACACTTTTTGAATGTACTTTTCTTACATCTATCTAACCTGCGATTCTACTGAAATATGTGCTATTTGTCTTAAATTTAATAAAATAAAAAACAAGCAAACTTGGGAGAAATACTTTCTTTTGAAACTAGATTAATCATTCATAGGTTTTTTTCCTTTCTTGGAAATAGAGTGAATGTTCTGTTTCATTTGAATGAAAAGCGCATGCATTAATTCTCAAATGGAGCTTCCAAGATATATTTCATGCCGTATGTTTCCCTAAAGTACAACTTTTCTCTGCAGAAAGTAAATACAGCAATTTCTTGGCTGAATTTCGAATGCTGCTCCAACAATTTGATTTTTTTTTTTCCCGCCATTATCAAGTAATCTTAATGGGATATGCACAAAATCCTGGCCATAATTTGTGATGCTCTATAGTCTATACTATCATAATGCGGAGATGACACTCGAAAATGAGTTGAATGAAACGTGATTTTCATATAATGGCGCATATCATGATGAAGAAGCAGCTGGGACCAAGAAAAAATCGTTCCAAAAAAAAAAAAAAGTGCGTTATAAAAATTGTATACAATTACACTGACTGATGTACAGTACTGTACAATAAAATAGCTTCGCCTTCTTGAATGTCGATTTACACATCACGTACTCATGCAGCAGCTTAACATTTTGCTTCAAGTATATTCAGCAGTAACTGCTGTACAGCACACAAGTATACAGTAAAGTACTCTAATGTATCCTGACATATATGGCGCTGTATATATAAACCGTGAGCTGATGAGGATGATGATTAAACTAGCATCATGCATCATCAAGCATTCACCCATGAATACTGCATTCCCTCTGTATAATTTCATAATTGAATACATGTGATTCACGGTACTGTGTGTCTTATTCTCGTATACTGTGCAATGCTGGAGGCAGGTGTTTGAGGGCATGAAGGCGTTTCGCGGGTCCGACGGGCGAGTGCGGCTGTTCCGGCCCGAGCTGAACATGGAGCGCATGCTGGGCTCGGCCGAGCGCACGTGTCTGCCGGCCTTCAGCAAGCGAGAGCTCCTGGCCTGCATCAAAGAGCTGTTGCGAGTCGACAGGGCGTGGGTGCCGCAAGAGTGCGACCTGGGCGACGGCTGCTCCCTCTACCTCCGCCCGACTCTCATGGGCACGACAGTGAGGAACAAATTGAGTCGATATACTGTACTGTACTAAATATAGTCGTCGTCGTTTCATCATCATCATCATTATCATCAGCAGCAATGATAATGCTGTGCAGTACTGTATACCTGCATGCTTTGTTTCTTTCTTTCTTTCTTTCTTTCGTATGTGTATTCTTTCAGGGCACTCTTGGGGTGGACAGGCCAAGAGACGCGCTGCTCTTTGTCATCATGAGCCCAGTGCAGAGCTACTTTGAGGACGCGACCACTGCTGTCCACCTCCTGGCTGACGGACGCTACATCCGGTCCTCGTACGGCGGCGTCGGCGACCACAAGATGGCGTGCAACTACGCTGCGCCGCTGCGAATCCAGGTGCTATAGGATGAACTGATTGATGATGCATCACGCACGCCAATAAATGCTATAGCTGCATGCTTCTTCCTTGCACATTTATTGCCTGCAGTCTAGCAGTTCTTACATTATTTGTCGTCTATGTATATACAAATACAGGAAGAGGCCAAGAAGTTGGGCTACCCCTCAGTGCTGTGGCTGCACGGCGAAGACGCGAGGATCACCGAGGCCGGCACGATGAACGTTTTCTTTGTGCTGGAATTATCCAAAGGCGGTGAGCTATACATATATATATAGTTGCTGCTATAGCTGATGATGATTACAGTATTCGTGTCTCTCACTTTCTATCGTTTTGGGAGCGTAACCTAGCGACAAGCGAGGGAAAGAAAGAATGATGGTGTTTGCCCGTGTCACGTAGAGAGGGAGCTAGTGACGCCGCCGTTGGACGGACTCATCCTGCCGGGCGTGTATCGGCAGTCTGTGATTGAGCTCGGCTCTGCTGTCGCCAATTGCAAAGTCAGCGAGAGGGTTTTCACTATGCAAGATCTCGTCAAGGCGTCGTCCCAGGGTCGGGTGTGTAACTAACTAACGCACCTCACAATTATATACACTTCAGTGTATTCAACCGCAGTACAGTGCTGTACTATATAGCATGCATAAATTGTGTCTTCATTTCAGTTGCTGGAAGCCTTTGGAACGGGGACAGCGGCGTCCATAGCCCCAATAGGTTCCATTCATTACAAAGACAGGTGCACCATTGAAATTCCAACACTGTCGCAAAAGGCGCCGCTTTACCGACAGCTCCATCAGTCACTTAGCGACATCCAGTTTGGCAGAGTTGCTCATGAATGGGCAGACATTGTGTGAAGCCCCAATAACTGCATGTTGTCCTACACTGTTGGAGGTTATTGCAAAATGAATTCAATCTCAACTCAAGACACCGTTCCTCTTGGCATTCAATACGTTTACTTTGCTCCAAATTTCCTACAGGATAAATGCTAATTGATGCAAAGATTTACTTCTTATGGCCAGGGTAGCTTTTCTAAGGAGTTAAAGGTACTTCTCTTCGCAAGCAGCATATCTATACAATTCCCAACATACACTCAACAGAGAGCCTAGACTGACAATGAGGTTCTGAAAGAGAGTTTAGACACTTCTTTATAAATGCGGGCCTTTTTCAATAAATGGCGTATGACCATGTATGAACAGAAATGGAGCTGATGGGACAGTCTCTACAGGTAAATGACTAGTGATCAGACAATGATGACACAGCCCAGCAAATAATCTGGGTGTACATGTACTGCGCATGAACATCTCTAGGATGGTACAGGTGGTACCTTGCAATTCAACCTCCCACAATTCAACAATCTTGCAATTTGATGGTTGAATTTGCTCAGAGCTCAACTCTCAATTCAACCTCTTCCTTGCAATTTGACCTGTGGAGAGACATGAAAAATCAAATGCCATGTGACATTGCCTCACAATCTTAAAACTTTGCAATTTGACCAGCAATGGATTAGGGTCAAATTGCAAGGTACCACCAGTGTTCACCAAAACCATATGCCCAGAGCATACACCCTTACAGTAAATTCTGTACACATAAAAGGCAGAACACATGTACACCCACTTTCTATGCATACAAAAGCTGAGCCTGTATGTATACAGGTACTGGTACATACAGGAATTTGTTCAATATATACCTTAATGCTGTGACATCATTGCCACATGTGACAATGGTGTCACAGCATTGTGGCACTGCTTAGTTGGTTTGTGCAACAACAATGTCCATCATAAAATACAGCAATGTGTGCCTAGCTTTGTTTTGCTGTAGACCAGTCAGGTGTGCGCCTCTAGATTTATTGAATGCATACCATCACATGCATCACTAAATCTGAAGGCGTACAGCAAACTGGGCTGTATGCCAAACTTTAGGCCATATCACACAGATGAAGGCCATATCATTTTTTGCTGGGGGTTCCTGCAAAATGCAGTTGCTAGGCAAATACCAAACTATATGATGCGCATCAGGGACTATGTAGAAGAATGGGGAATAGTATATTATTGAAATGTTTTGGGAGGGACACACTGTAGAATAGTTCAGATGACACGACACCTGTGGAACAAAGAGCATCATGTGCTACACACAGAGACATCCAATGCCGGTAGGTGTCACCCTGGTTTAATTGTATTCGCTCACTCGATCTGCACCGAACATCAGCAGCAGCAGCAGAGGTGCCGAACAAACACCCAGCAGCTGACACTGACGAGACAAAAACAAAAAACAAAAAAAAACCAACCACATTCTTTCGGACGTCTCTGCACCAAAAACGATCCCTAAAAATCTACTGTAAAACACTGATAATATTTATTGATAAAAAAACTATGTCATTGCCTGTAAAGTTGGTGGCCTTTTCCCTATGCTGAGCTGTGAGCCTAGTGATGCGCTGCTAGTACTGTGCGAGGGCTTCTTCTTGTTACGGGGTCGGTGCCTTTTATTTTTCCACAAATTATTTTTTTCTCTCACGGCGTCGATGTTGCGTCATATTTGCTTGTTGTTGCTTTTTTGCATCTTTCTCTTCATTGCTCGGAGTACAACAGATCACAGCGCTGGACAAATTACAGCTTTTCCTGCTGGGATCCGACCATCAAGGTCCATTGGACGAAGATGACGATCTGCCGCTTTATCAATCGAAGACCTGGACTCCTCACAAATTTTATGTCATGCCCGTAAGTTTTAATACGTAAAGTTCTTCCGTAAAACATCTTGCTCGCGTAGCGTAGAACTTACTGCGCCGATAGTCAGCATTTAGGTAACACTCTTCTAGATGTCGCTCATAATTCCACACGTCCTAGTTCAATACAGTACATCAACGCTGTGAATGCATGGGGATTCCATTAACATACTGGTATACTAAAATGTGTGCTTCGATTTTCGAAGGGTGAAGAACCTCTGTATATATCTTCGGCAACTAATCAGAACCTAGGTGGGCATTTGAAGATAAATTCGTGAGTCAAATGCACGAAATTTTGACATAAACGTGTATACGTACATCCATGCAGCACAAACGAATCCAATCTGTTGCATGGAAATATAGGAATGTATTCGTCCATATCATGCATCATACTTCATAATTTGCAAGAGAAAATATGATTCCTTATTCACCCGTTTCACATACTTGACAGATCGAATCGTAAAAAACTCACTTGCAATCTGAATTGAACAGAAATTAAATGAAAATGATGAACCAAGCAAAACACATGTCAAAAGGGGTTCGTATATATGCCTCAGACACCCTACTGATGTAAAAATAGTAAGGCTTTTCTGGAACAGCCTCCGGTCCCTTACAAATATGTGCAGAATTGCTTAGAAAAACCTATTCAACAAAAAGCGCTAGTGGTTACCTGTTATTCAGAGTAAATGTTTGTTGGTAACATTTACATTTACAGTACAGTATTTTCGAAGATCAGTTTTTTAAACACTTGAAAAACATCTGAAAAAGCCACAAGAGGAAGATTTTGGATATATGCAGGCCTAATTTGAAGAAAATCTTCCAATCAGTGACAATTTTTGAAAATCTCATAACAAATAATATTCTATAATAAACTTTTTTCTGAAGTCCCCAAGAGTTTGTTGTAACAAGATTTCACTGTAATTATAGCCTCCTTTTTTTAATAAAAGCAAGAAAAATTCTCGAAACCTTCTCCAAATGCACAAGTTGATATATAGACTTTACTGTATTGTATACAATTGCAGTACTGTACTGTATTTCCTCCTCGACTTGCTGACATGTTATTGTAGCCTTTCTTCATATTTTGTAGATCAGGCATCGTCTCATTCCTTTCTGCTTATATTTCAATGTAAAACATTTCCTGCCCTGTATAAGAAAAGTTTCGTGTACTGTACTGTAGAATAGTAGATCACATGGACTATTTCACATTTTCAAAGCTCTGGGTATGTAAGCATCTCTCTCTCCCCCCCCCCCCCCCTCTTTTTTGCGGAGCGCAGAAGCCGGATAAATACATCAACTGTCGTATTTCCACCACCCCCCTGATGAAAGTCGAGAACAGTGCACTTCAGTACTGTAGACTAAGAGTTCATTCGCAGAGGAATGAATGGCATCAACCATTGTGTCCATGAACTGTACGTAAATGGAGAGGCAGAGGAACTAGATGCCATCTCTGCTGCTGCTGCTGGCAGTGTGGTGTACGGTGTAGTAGTCAGACACAAAACGAACCGGTTGCCTGCTTGCTTGCTTGCGGCGGATATATTCTCGTCCCGCCGCTGACAGTCGAGTTAGTTGGATCCGCAGCTGGAGCAAGGAAGTGATGATCTCGCTTACCGCGGCAGCGGAGGGAGGGCAAGGAATCGGAGGGATGAAGAACCGAAACAAAGACCGACGAGGAACGCGGTTCAATTAAGGGGCAACAAACTTGCCGACTTTTACACGTGTCCCATCGGACCGGTGAATTGCGGGGGGGGAGATCAAACAGGAGCCGCGGTCGTGGGAGGGGTGAGATGGATCATGGGCTGGATTAGACATCACAGTGGTTCGAGATCTCTCTTCATCTCTCCCTGTTTAATGAAAATGAGGTTGAAATGAGCAATGCACTGTACTGCTGACTCGCACACAGATTTCATGAGAGATGCACTTTTGTTCTGCTGAAGGGGGTCATTGCACTATACTGATATAGTGATTATATTTTTTTTTACCAATGGTCAATGCAAGGTGCTTTCAACTTACGCTGCTGACAGCAAACCATTCAGGTATTTTTCATTTCTGAGGGAATGCACAAAATGCATCATTCCAGTTTGAATGATAATTTAAAGCAGCAGCGCACAAGTGCTCCAGGTTTGGTGCGACCATGGATAGTTCTGGCATGAGAGAAAAAGTTCCCCTCTATCAATCCTGAAAAATGTTCATTGTTTCTTTGGGTAGGCTGTGGCATTATTTTACAATGGATTGTTAGACACATATTTTACACATGAGGATTGGAACCCGAATGATGATCAACTGATCACAAGTTTCAAGAGGTTTTTTTTTTTTAATATATTCTACTGTATTGTAAAAACACTTGGAGAATAATTTTATTCTATACTACGCATTGTAATTTGGGTTTGTGAACAGATGTGTCCATTATATCCACTGTCAAAGCAATGCTACACCCGAGAACATTGAAGTTACACAAATGCGAGTTCTTTTCAGAGTTCACGGTTATTTTCCCTCCTGAAAACATGAATTTTTCAATGAATGAAACCATTCCGCATAGCAGAGAGGGTTGCCAGGGCTGTCAATCCATCGATTTGTGTGCATGCTCTGGAATCTCAGAGGAAGGAACACGTTCTTTTGGCGGATGGCTCCACGACCGTCAAGCCATGTCTCCGTTCCCTCTTTCTCTCTATCTTATCCCCCTTCCTTTCCCTGCCTGCCGCCCTCCCTCCCTCGCACGCGTTGCCATGGTTCCTCACCCCCTTCCTCTGTGTGCGTCTCCCCATTCTTTCCTCGGTGGAGGAGGAAGGCCTCTTTTTCTCACAACACCTGGAAGCCCGCGATCCTCAAGTACAAGGGGGTTTCTCAAAAGCCTTGCGACTTGCACCCGTATCTTCAATCAGGGGTACACTGAAGGTGCAAAAGCAGATGTAAATGAGAGAGGACCGAGAATATTTCTCACGCCAGGTTCTTGGGATCGTCTGGTGACAAATCCCTGGCTTTAACACATTGAATGAAATTGAAATGTCCTTTGTTTACTTTGACTAAAGCTGGTCCCGGAATTTTTCAGCATGTCGTTCAATGCATTTTTATAGTCCATGAGTAGCCTGAGCTGCTGCGTCTTTTGACGGAAAACTCCCGCCAAGAAAGTCCACAATCTAAATTTCTTATCCACCACCTATCAATATGGATCCGAAAGATGCATATTCAAAAGGTAGAGGAAAATTAAGTT